GGAAAGGAACTGTGTAGAATGCTCTAGAAGGGCTGAGAGTGTTCCATGGCTGGCTAAGGATTGTTCTCACCTTATTGTTTATGTTTTTCCCATGCTATTGTTAAAGATTTTCTCACCCCTTGTTCTTGATTTCACATGCCCTTTTGTTTTCTTTCATACCACTCTCTCACACTATTGTTTACCTTTTTCCCACACTATTGTCTCCTCCCAAGTATCTTCTCACCCTATTGTTTGTAATTTCAAATTACTGTAGGGTATATAAGGAGCTCAGTAGGGAGAGAAAAAAAAAAAAGAGGATCAATCTATCTGGGATCCCCCAATAAAGCTATTTGTCTGTCAAGTTAAAACCTTGTCCCTACTGTGGGATAAGAATTGTCTGGACTCTGATTTTCTGAAGCACCTCAGTGTAGGGAAGGACTGCAGTACTGTCTGCTGTCTGCTTCAGTTAGCTCAAGCTTGCCTTGGAATATAAGACTGGGTTATTGGAAGTCTGTCGTTAGACTCCTGTGACCTGTGTTAGCTCTCTACCTTCATTCTCAGCTAGACTCTAGTAGTCAGCTACCTATTTAGTATCTATCAGATTACCACCACAATATCAGGGTCTGCGTTGGAAACTTATCCTGCCTCTCGAACACAAGGGAACTGCTCGACCAACGTTAAATCCAGCATTCTCTTGGGGAGCTTGACGACCTTTCCGCTTAGTAAATTCTAGGTGGATTTATATCCGTCGCAAGTTCTGCTGACAGCGTTTGCAGAGATAAATCGTGGAATGGGTCCGTGTATGTCTTGGGGATGCTAGGAAGGTCGGAGCTAAATAGAACAAGTCTTTAGAGCCCATAGAAGCCTAGAAGCGTGTGAGCGCTGTGTCGAATAAGCTCCGGAGGGCTTGTATGATGTGCTGAGTCCGCGTTTTTGGGAGTCAGACGATCCTGAGGCTTATCAACGGAAAGAGAGAGAACATGGCCGAGCGAGGGCTACCTTGTTGCTGATAGTAATCGGGTAACTCATACGGGATGTCGCTCTTCCTGATCCGAGTGCAAGTCTACGGAATGTTTTATAGAAGTGGTTGCAGTGAGATGGATACAGCGGTACACAGGACAATGCAGTAGATAGAAAAAATGTATATATGAGAACAACACTTCAGTCTTGAACAGCTACCCAAGTAGCTCGCGAATATCCAGACGCTGACTGCCAGAAATAGGCCGTCGACCGTCGTACAACATCAAAGAGCCATCCAAGGAGCTCGCGAATATCTAGACGCTCGCTTCAGGAATGTGACTCCGACACCGAATCCGCTTGACACAACCTTTACACTCCTGACGCACTCCTGACCCGCTTACTGCCGGTCGACGAAGGCTGAACCGCATCTTCCTCCTTTTCAGTGTCAGCCTTGCGTTTAAGGGAACCGCTCTGTTGAGAGGGCTGTCCTGACAGGCCACTGGCCTGCGAGGACCACATCGTGGATGCAACCTGAAAACCCGTGAACCGATGCATCTGCGCGGTGGCGTCGAAGGCCCGCTTGAACACCAGTGCCTTGGGGTCCTTCTTTGGCCAGTCTTGAGCTTCGAGCGTGTCTTCTAAAGCCTTCAAAACGGCGTCATGGGTAATAAGATTTGTCGGAGTGAACCCATAGTGGGTAGTAACCAGTCTAGTGAGTTCACACACGCAACGGGTAAGGGGAGGATGGTCTTTCACTTCCAGATTACCCCACTCGGCCTCCCACATCCATGCAGACCTGCCCGTGCTATCGGAGCCGTCGAAAAGCCCATGAATCTCCTCTGGCATCAGATTCGTCCTAACATGACGCACAACAGCGAAGAGGAGAACCCAGAACACGGATTCGAGGTCATGCCAATCTTCGTGAACAATCAGCTTCTTAGCCTTCAGGAGTTTCAGAGCTATGAACTGGATGGTTCCCTAGTGCAATCTTCAATGACGTGATTTTACAAACGTGAAATGAAGCCTACCGTTATTCATCGAAGATCGAATGTATCCGCATCGTCATCTATAAACGAGGCATACTCAGGATCAATAAGAAATCCTACAGCGCCGTGCTCCCTCTCTGGAACAGCGCTGATCATGATATTGTGGACACTTATATCGCGATGTAGGATACCCTTCTTCGCTAAGTCACGGAGGGCTAGTATCACAGATGAGCACAGATCTGAATATGGGGGAACATAGTACCGCTGATATGGACTGACACACAACAATCACCAAGGACCAAAAGGAATAAACCTAAACCCCGTGATATGGGTGAAGGCGGTCCGAGACAACTGAAGGGTATTTAATAGTTCGAGGGGGAAAGGAGGAGTAAGACGCCTTAGGGTAGTCTGTAGGAAGACCTAGAAAAATAAAACAAAACCTTGATGCCTGAAACAAACACTAATGGACGCTCCGGAGTATTTATCTCCGAAAAGTCGCAAACAAAGTCGCAAACCACGGAACCGAGTGTAGGTTCGGGCCCATGGGAGTAGAAAACGCTAAAGGGACTTGTTTAATTTTTATTTCGCTATGTGAGACGCACTGGAGCTAATTGAATCGATGGCGGAGCTAATTCACTCGACGAGTCAGGCCTATTGGCAAAGCTAAGATCGGTTATAATTCGCTAAGTTCGACGCTTTCGAACTTCTCGGGTCGCTGAGATCGTAACGCTAATTCTCTGAGATGGTGAAGTCGAAACTTGTTTTTCTGTACACTACTTTGTACAATTTATACTACAGGAATGGCTTTGCGACCGTCCGGAGATAAATAACAAATAACCGCCGCTACCCACAGGATTGCTCAGCACTTGCCACCGCTATACCATGCACCATACGACTCTCTTGCACTCCCACTTGCTCGTCCCAACCCCTAGAGGTCGCCTTGACGCTCTGCCACCTGATCCAAGCGGTCCCATCACTCTGTGTGACGCTCCGGTCACGTGCTAATTACCTCCGGCCGCTTGCTGACTGATGCTGGCCTCATGGTGACTCGTATGCGTCCGCATCTTCGGTATCTTGACAGAAACGAGGGGGAGTGAGTGCTGGA